GCAGCACATTTAACGTCATCCTGTAATGAAGGGATTAGAACCTTCTGATGACCACGGAGTGCCTGATGAGTGTTTATGTAGCTGTAGCACAAATAATGTGGAGCAACTGCTGGGTGAACTAATGGAGTTGTTACAAGAAATGGCATATTCTATCCATTAGATTAACCCAACTTCAGGCAAAACAAATCAAACAAAATACAAAAATAAAAACAAAACAGTAATAACACATGCGGTTTTCTGCTTAATGTGCCTGTGCATCTGCTGCATCTGCTGTGGATATCAAATTGGTCAATTAATCAGCATCAAATTACTGTAGATAATGTACTGTACATGAAATAATAACTAAATTTCAATGGAAAAAATATCTAACTAACTGTGTTCTGATAAAACTCACATTTAATCATTAAATTAAAGTGTAGAAAAAATGCACACAGATGCAAGTGTTGCGTTGGCATGTCTTGATATACAGTGAAGCTCAAATTTAAGAAAACCATCATCTTCATGGCAAAGTGTAGCATGTTTGAAATGTGGTGAAGAGTCTAAATATTAAGATCTCAGGGGTTTCAGTGTATATTTGTGTAATCTCTACGATGATAGATGTGTCATTTTCTGTTCAAATAGTCCAATACAGAATGTGCCCATGTATAGCGATCCTCTATTCAACACTTTAAGGAAGCAATTTTCTTGTTATTGTTCCCTTCTGCTCTTTTCTTTCTGTTTTGTATAAATATTTAGGACATTTCAGAGGCAGTTGGATATATCAGAAGCCTACAGCAACATGCTTAATTATTGTTTTTATGTAAAGATTAATATAACGACTGCCTTATGTTTTACGTTACCGTGATCAAATTTTAGTTTTTTATTTGACATTACTGGTTCATAGATGAACGACTTAAAACCAATTGAATAAATAAGTGGGATGCATAACCAAATGCAAATAACCCAGATAAACATGCACAAGTACAGACACATACATAGAGAGATATATTATTTATATTATACACTATTGTCAGTAACAACAATATTAGGATTACAAGTCCCCAAATCAACAGTCTGTTTATCTTGCTGAAACATTCCAAAATTTAGTGAGAACTGAATTTTTTCCCCATGTTATCTTCATAAACAGAATGATAGAGAAGAAAAACTGGCACCATGCTATAATTTTCAGACACAGCAGTGAGCAATAATAAGATTTGTTTCAACATTTTGCTCATGGTGCATAATTAGGGTGACCTCAAGAACACTAGAAAACACTAGAAAAAGAGATTTACCCAATCACTCCTTTTTCTGCGTTTGGAGGGGGATTTCTGAGGGTGAATACTTGCTGGTTTCACTGAAAAGCAGTCAGATGTGACAGAGGCTTAATGGCTTTTCCAAAATCCCCAGTGTTTCTAAGAGTTACTGTTTGTGGCTGGCTTTTCTTTCTTAATTAAACATTTCTAAATTCCTTATTGAAGAAGTGCACGTAGAAGTCTCACCCATTAAAAACCTTACTTTTCATTCTTTTTCTGTCACATTTCACAGACGGCAAAGTCCTTTGAACAGTCCCTGCACAGACAAATAGACAGCGCATTGCTTCTGGATGTGAATTTCCATATTTGGTAATAAAGTAACATGTTGTCAAACTGTTCTCTCTGGCATAAGCTGCAGCACAGTCATGGGGATATCCAGTTTCTAAGCACGAGCTCAGTGAGTTTTAATCCTGGGCAAACTCAGCAAGCTCACCAGCAAGAGTGTCAGCATAGCAAGGCTAGAAACATGACAATGGACAGATGTGACACAACGACTGAAAAAAAGAGCAGCAACTCTCTTAGCTTCTATAAGTGCCAGGAGACCTAGAATATGGTACATTTTTAAGAAATATGGTGCCAGGGTGAGTTATAGAGCGGGTTTTAAGTCTTACAATTATCATGCCTTGGAACAAAATATGACATATACTTACAAATGTATTTCACCAGCTATTCTGAAATAGGAAAGGGGGTGCAAAGCAAAAGAAAAAAAGAGGCTGCAAAGTGAAACAAAACTGCATACATATATGGCATTCTCTTTGTGTGAACTGTAATTGTCTAGAATACGATCAGTATTTTATCTTATTTAAGAAAATATCTCAAACAGAAAATAAGAAAAGAATATAAGTAATACAAAATTCAGATTTAACAGCAAAGGCCTGAAATGAACAATTCAGCAGCAACTTCAAAAAGCAGTGTTTTAAGAATTTAATGGAAGATACTTACTGTGAACTACAGTAGCTAGCGTCTCCATGCACCCACAGAACCAAAGTTGCACATTATCTGTAAATTACAACTATATTTAGCTTATCTCAAATGTAATTCAAAGCTCTCCACCTGTGTCATATTTTCAGACTTTGTTCCTTTAAATTACCCTGACTTATTTAACATGTAACCTAACTTCTTTTCTGACAGACATTTACTTTTACTTCATTGACCTGTACACTATCATTCTCAGGTTAGACTGTGACAGTTAACAGTCAACACACTTTAGGTTCTGTTAGCTTGCACGGAGACAAAAAATGAAATTAGATTAGTGAGGTCTAATCTCTCTGTGGCCACATTACTGGCCAGTGTCATCTGCTAAAAAGATTAGAAATGGTGTCACAGACTGATGGAGGTGATTGGACTGTTAACAGTTCGGCTCCGGTGGCTGTGATGAACATTTAATTGCTCATGTCAATGGATTGTTAAAGATATTTGAAGTGCATGAATGATGGCGGTGGATGAAAGCGAGTCACTGGTATTCTAGCCAGTTTTTAAAGGGCTGTGTGTGCATTTGACTATGGGGTGAATGTTTTCCAAGGAACTCTAAACAAAGGTTTGACAAGTAAACAAGTAATGTTTTCATTGCCTCATAAAAAAATCATTTGGTATACAGCATTGAGCAATTAATCTACTGTTAAATATTTCAACTCACTTACCAAAAGATGAGGAAAAACTGCTAAAATTATATTTTCCAGGAAAAGAAAAAACAAGAAGGCACCACCATGAAAATCTAGCTTCTATGGACCTCCAGTGGTTTAATGAGGTATAAATTAAATTTAGCCTGTGTCAGTGCACCGTGACTTTAGTGTTGGCCACATTTCGAAATACACAAACTTCAAGCACTTCAAGCACACGAGCAAACGTCTCTGAAGTTTTGAGTCATGGTCAATCTTATTTGTTTTTTTAAAAAAAGCTTATTTTTGTGTGTTTTCCATGTTGGTCGTTGTGATTGTTTTAAATATTCCAGTAACCTGAAAACAAAAGTAGTGACACACATGGTAACAATAGAGGTGTTATCTTCATTTAGGATGGAAACCGTCTTATCAGTTTGCTGAAATAGCTAAAATTGGACTCAAATTGTTGTTTCATTCAATAAAATCATGGAAGATATGAGATTTTTGAGCTCAGAGCTTGGTAATGAGGCTTTCCTTTCCAAAATGCACATTGAAAATAGTAATTTACTTTTCATCAACTGATTGTTGGGTGTTTAATTTGACCAAATTTCAACCAGATATTTTAGGAATTGACCCAAAATAACTTTTGCAATTTTACAGCTCTGTTGCAGTCCTATTCTATTCGATTCGATCGTGTTCAGCAGGAACAAAGTCTGACTGGACAATAGTAAGTCATTTGCCAGAGAAAGAATTTAATTAAATTAATTTCAGCTGAGATTTCATTAATGAAGCTGGTAATATTTAACAATATGAAAAAGTGGCTAAAGAATACTCCCTGTGTACATATATGAAGCATTACAGCAAAAATGAAGTAAACCTTTACAAACACCTAGTAGCCTGCAGAAGTAACATATCAAACTGATAGTCACACCACATATCTGTTACACAGACTCCAGTTCCCTTTGTCAATGAGGCACCTCACAATGATACTGGACAAAAAAACAAATCACTAGATTAATTACACTGAAAGAAACATGACAAAAGTCAATAACCCTCATTAACTTACATTTGATCAATACACATTTACAAGGAGCATGCAAATCTATCTACTCCAGTAAAATGTTTAAAAAACACTGCCGAAAGCAACTAAAGGATAAGATAGACATTTAGCATTTATGTTTACAGTCAATTGAGTTTTCAGTACTCTCTTCTGATCTTTGCATAATGAATGCTAGAAGCCAGTCACATCCCTGGTGTTATGTGGACCAGAACATATGTCCTATATTATTGAATACGGTGCTTTTGGAGAGTCAGCAGAATGAGGATGTAATACAAGTAATCTAATATAAACACAGAGTAATCACACAGTATATAATTAAACTGTTGTTAACGAAGGCAAACATTAAATCTAATGGCATCTCACAATATATTGTGGATATTAAATATTCTACAGATGCATCTGCTTTTAATGGTAAAGGTGGTGAAGCAGTGCACTGAAGCATATTTGGATGCCCCATAATCATATACCTGTGAATATGTGGAATAGTTACATTTTTCTCGGGGCAAAGTTACTATACCATAAAACAGAGAACATTTAAAAAGTTGATATAGAGTTTTAAAGAATCTTTAGGTCAAACAGAATATCAATCACAGTCATTATCACTATATCAAATAAAGCAATAGGTCACTTCATAAAAGTTTCACAAAGTGACTCGCTCAGATTGGATCTGCTGCTGTTGAACACAAGCACTCCCCTGACAGAACTTATGGGAAACTATCCATTAATCAGCCGAAAAAGAAACTAAAAAAGATGTCCCTTAATGGTTGTTTCTGGCCCTAATGTGCACTAACTGAGGGTAATAAAGGTCTTGGTTATATACATTGCTATGAATTATAGCAGGGAGTACTGTATGCTTCCCAAATAAATGTCAGAAGAGTTTGTTTCAAATAAGATATGACATTGCTCTGGCAAATCATCCGTGGTATAAAAGACAGCAACTTGTTTTCTGCTAAATAGTGAAAAGGAAGTTTGCAATTTAATTCAATCAGGATTAAAAGCAATGAAGTAAACATTCAGTACAATGTCCTAACACAATTTTTTTTTCTTCAGTCTGTTCACAGTTCTCTAGAGGAGTGTATGCCATTTTTGGATTCTATGACAAGAAGTCTGTAAACACCATCACCTCGTTTTGTGGGACGCTACATGTCTCCTTCATTACACCCAGCTTCCCTCTGGATGGAAGTCATCAGTTCATTATCCAGATGCGACCAGATATCAAGGGCCCCCTTCTCAGCCTTATTGAGTACTACAAGTGGGACAAGTTTGCCTATCTCTACGACAGCGATCGAGGTAAGAAGTGAACACGTTTTATAGCTTTCAAAGTGTGATTTGAGTGGATTTTCATCATGAAATTCTCTAAAGAAAATCTGCCACTGTTGTCAGCTGGTTATCTTGTAGCCTTGGAAGCTTGAGTGCTAATCCTATGGCTATTTGTAAAACATGTATGTGAAATTATGAACTTTGAAAACTGCATTATTGGCCAGATATTTGGATTCTGTAATATAAACCACAGAAACTGTAAGTTAGACTATATTATTATATGTTTGCTACTTTCAGCTGCTGAGTTGTCACAAGGGGCTACAGAAGAGTAATCTATCCAGCAATTTGCTGGTTCTGTTAAGCTGTAGGTTAGCATACATGTAGCTTTTTGTTAGTATAGCTTTTGGGAACACTGGTCCTCTTAGGGGAAAGGCTCGCATGTCCCCCTAGTGACCTTTTCTCATGGAGGATAAGTGGACCCAAACTTTGCCCATTCCTCCTGACAGACATTTTGTTGATACACTTTTGGTCCACTTGTCCCCTTACAGGGAAGCGGTTGATCAAATGAACACAGAATCCTGAGCAACCGCTTTTATCCTGTGACAAAACATTTCTATCCCACTGTGTGCAACACAGGTGAAGCTAGGTAAAGGGCATGGGCTCATTACAAACAGCTTGTCACATACAATCAACTATAGCACCTCCTCCATTTGAGAGTGTAATGTAATATCAAGGCGAGGTTAGAGGAGAGGCAGTCAGAGTCATCTCTGACATACAGTGGAGATGATACGGCCTAAAGCTGTTGATTTCCACACTTGTTCTACATAGAGATGTGATGTCAGCAATGGTGTGACCATCCTAATTGAGAGGAAAAGTTGCACCATGCTTAGTTCACATTGTGTTATTTTTCAGCTCCACTTCACAATCAAACAACAGACTCACAGATACATACACATATACAAATACACACACCCAGTTGCTTTTCTGGTTCCAACTCTACCTAAAATTCAAGCCATACCCTTTTTGGTCTATCAGTCAGTTAGACAGGCAGGCTTTTCCCAAGATTAAGGATTACAGAATCTGAAGACTGTCACCATAGCACTCATCATGTTTTTACAGTCTGCAGTTATCACAAACATTCACTAATACAACAGTAGTGGTGCCCTTAATGATAAAACTAGCTTTTTTAGAGAATAAGTTAAATTATTTAGCAATAAATAATCTCTATCCTGAGCCTGTACACCTGTATTTGGAATCCTGGATAAGATCAAGGGCTGAATTTATCCTACATGAAATATTATCTACCCTCAAACTATAATATCCCAGCTTGCTTCATATTCAAATCTATTTCGTCCCTTTTCTTTGATCCCTTTCATAAGTGATTCTTCAAAATTCGACACTGATAACGTCCAAGTCTGGAAATAAGATTTTATATCTTCCAGCAGACATTTTCTCTCACTACCTGAAACGTCGAACACACTATATGCTTTATAAGCATGACAATTGTATTTTTTAATTGAGCTAGCGGCATATGAGTTGGTAAAATGGAAGATGGCTGTGGCTGAATTCAAGAAGAATGGTTAATATAGCAATTAATAATAAGGTGTAATAAAGGCGATGGCAGCCAAAAGGTTCAAGAACAATCTACTCCTGCTTTTGCATTATCTCACTTTGCTGTGTCATGTAATTCATTTTATGCTGTCACCTGCTAATTGTGATTCTGTGACTTTTGCCTTTGAAGCACAATGCAGTCTTCTGGAGCAACTGACACTGAAAAGAAAATCTCTTCCACAGATAGAGTTCCACTCTCTATTAACACTCTTACTGCAATGAAAAACCAGAATTAAAAGCTCAGTACTATCTAGTTACAGTGGAATAACAGTATTAAGTCTTCTATCCTAGCAGGAATACTCAGTGTTTATGTTACACATCAAATTATTCTTTTAGCTCATAGACTAATTGTTTTATTTTCAGCACGCTAAAAGAGACAATGTCCAGATCAATTTTAGAAATCATTTTGAAGGTATGCAACATTGATAAATTCCCAAAGATAGTTTTATATGTAAGTATTTATATGAAGCACTAAGTGGTTTATTGCAACAGAAGTGAATCAACATAGAGATGTGAAACTGCTGCTGTCTACACACAGTTTAGAGTGGATACACAGTGGATGGATTAGGAAGGATTTAGAGCATTTCTGCTCTGTATTACCTTTAACTTTCTATAGTGTTACATCTCTTAAAATCTCCCGTTGCACCTTTTCCCATCCAAGACATATCCTGCCTGCTCTTTATACACTAACGTTATCCTCCCATTTGTCCTGTCTGCTTTACAAATCATCTCTTGTGTTTGCTATGCTTTTCTTCCTTTTGCCAGCATGCTAAGTCTTACCAGTCAGCCTTTCTGACTGACAGCAGAATCAAATACTGTTCCTCTCTAAAATCAGAAGCACCAGCTGTTTCACAGTGTCCCCATGCTAATGCTAGGAGTGACCTGCTGTCCTTACTGTACGTCCGCTGTGGCACTAAGGGGCCTGTTGTGCATATTTCATCATTGCATGGCTGTCTAATTAGGTCAGTGTGATCCACTCATTCCCATGGCAACCCAAAGTGTAGAGAGAAGAGGAAAGAGAGAGACTGTAAGTGACTAAGCTTGTTGGTAAATGATGCAAGGATGTGTGGGGGTGTTTCTCAGGGAGTCGAAAGAAAGGAAGCAATGGAGTTGCTACTGGTTATGATGAATTCTATTAGAACACTGAGGCTAATGCATGAACCAGCAAATACCTTGTCAGCTATGGCCAGTAACTTGGTTTAAACAATGGATCAAGATAGATTAAAGAGTAGGTTAAAGAGAAGACCAATATTATGGTGTAGGTCAGGTACTGGGAACCTATTTTTGGTCAACAACTAATAAATATCTCAAAAAGTGGAGCTGCAACTGACTTTACTAACGTGATAAAAATGTGACTACTTTGCAGTGGGCTCCATTTATCCTTTCATCCATTTTCTTGTGCTTATCTAATTCACTGGTTCACGGTTGATGCCCATCCTGCGTGCCATGAGTGGGGTGTGGGGTTACACCAACAGCAGTTACAGTTACAGCAAAACGGTACAGTTACCATTACTAACAAAAACTTAGTCATATTTTCTTTTGTTTTTTCTTCCATCTCCAAAAAGTTTGTCTAAAGGGTCTCCCTTACCGCAACTTCAGCTTTATAGCAGGAAGTGGAAATATTTGCCTGGGACATCTTGCCTGTTGCAAATGTTGAAGACATTCTCTCTGATTAGCCAACCTGTACATTTAAAAGGAGGCCAAAAAAGCTCAAACGATGCCCAGTCTTTTCAATTTAGGTGCTTATCAATAGTAAACTGTGTGATCGGCTAACACTAATTAGCAGGTCTAATTGCCTTGGTAGTTAACCTACACAGTCTATGGATGCAATTTGCTAACTAAGTCCGTTACAAGTTTCTCGGTGACTGCAGTTGTCAGTCAAAGCTGTTATGATGACATTACACCCCAATTTAACATCACCGCGGTAGGAATTAGAATCAAACTTATGGGAAAGGAGACCCCTTGGACATAAATCACCATAATGAGAACTATTGATGACAAAAGAAAGAATCTCTGGAAAAAATTTATCTGAGGGGAGGAGGAGGCGGGGTTTATGACCTATACTGCAGCCAGACACCAGGGGGCGATAGAGACGTTTTGGCATTCATTTCTGGGGAGCTGTCGCGTCGTCCATGTTTTCTACAGCCCTAAAGAATGTAGCCTCATGGGCAGTGTAGTCCGTGCTGCAGGGAGAATAAACTGCCATACCCATTATGTATCTGTGAGCGAGGGAGGGAGAAAAAGGTGAGTGGAAAAAGAAAAACTGGCAACCAGGAAAAACAGGAGCTGGAAGCATGTAAATATAATAATAACCACTGCAGCCAAGAAGAGTGCCTGACGAGCCCAGTTGTAAGTAAGCGATTAAGACTCGACTGTACACAGTGTTCTTATTTTCCTCCGAAACAATAAGTTCCATTGGAGCAGCCTTTCAACGCCTCTCTCTGTCTCAAACTTGACCCAGACAACAAAGTAAAGCTATTTTTCGGCTACTAGCCCAACACTGAACCTGAAGTATTAGCCAGAGGTCCCTTTACTACGGTTCGGAGCCGCGGACCTTCAGTAACAGTAATAAATCACACAGCAATAGTACATTCATGTAGTTGTAAAAAGCATGATAATATATTAAGTAATCCAAAGTATTCAGAATACGTTACTCTCAATGAGTAACGTAACGGAATACGTTACAAAATACATTTTGGGGCATGTATTCTGTAATCTGTAGTGGAATACATTTTAAAAGTAACCTTCCCAGCACTAAGCATGCCAGCATTTGCTAATTTAATAGAAATCCACTGTTGTCTAAATAAGGTCACATACTCGTGCTTGGAGACTTTATGCTTAATTAATCAAGGTCAAATAAAAGCGCTGTCTACAGCAGTGATAAGCACTAAAATAGCTATTTCTGCTGTCAAATATTACAATTGTACCAGTCTGGTTTTTTTAAATAATTTTCATACTTTTATCTAAACATCATTCAAACATTTACATGTTTGAATCTAGATTAAAATAAACAAAAAATAAACCCAAATAAAAAATTTGCAGATTCAAGTTCTGTTATAGCAGACCTGTAGGCAATCACAACCCCTGCTATTTCTTCCTAAAACAAAGCCTTTAAGCACTTGCAATTGATTTAAGTGGTGCTTCAATAGGCATTAAGCAAAGAATAACAGGTTCACTCTGGGGAAGGATGTTGGACTTTCAGCACAGTAGATATATGGGAACACAATTTGTTAAACAGATTATAGCTAATGTGAGGATGAATTTGTAGGAATGGAATCAATATCCTATATTTAATCTGAGCCTATTTGACCCTTAATTAAACATTTTACATCGTATTGTACATGTTCTCATGTATTTGGAGTCATGATTCAATATAATAAAAAAATTGTCAAATGTAAAAGGTAGTAAAGGAAACATTTCACTTAAGTGCTGCTTTAGACCACTGAAAGAGGTATTTGTTGTTCATTGCAAAACGTGCAAAATCATGGGTTTGTGAATAATTATAAAATATTATATAACCGAAAAAGTCACATATATTCTTACATTATATACAACATTGAATGACTTAAAGTGAATGTAACAAAATCAATGATGTCCTTTTTTATGAAATAATTACATTTACAAATGTCATTGAACTTGTAACAAAAGCAAAATACTAAATACGGTATATATTTTAACACTAAATACACAGGAACAAACTAGTATTACATGGTGATATAGTCTTTCAGGTAAAAAGAGTGTAGGGTGGGATGTGATCTAGTTATAAAGTTAAAGGGTACACTGGGGTGGACAAAATATTTTAATACATTTAATTACTTATTAATGCAAATGTTTCATCAGCTAATTTGATGGCCACAGAAAAGGTGATAAAATTGACTTTGAATGCGGGACATTTGTTGATGTCACATGTTGGTCTGAGTCTTCCAGAAACCGCTGGTCTACTGGGATTTTTCTAGGAATAAATGCTTTGTTGATGCCAGAGGTCAGGGGAGAATGGCCTGCTTTCTACATGCTGATACCAACAGCAGCTCAAATAACCGCTTACATACAAGGTGTGCAGAAAAAGCATCTTTGAATACAAAATATATTAAACATGGCTACAGTAGCAGAAGATCACAACAGAAGACCATTTCTGCCAGCTTAGAATAGAAAAAAGACGCTACAGTGGTGCAGGGTATACTTTTTTGGCAAGCTTTGGGGTTTTTGTTACTAACTGATTGTTTAAAATGCATAACCTACCTGAGTATTGTTGCGCACATGTCCATGTCTTTATGACCATAGTGTACCCATCTTGTGATAGTTGCTTCCAGTAGGATAACACACGATTTCACAAAGCTAAGATAATTTCACTCTTGTTTCTCAAACATGACAATGAAATCACTGTACTCAAAGGGCCACAGTTTCAATACAATATGGATGTTCATCTGACAAAGATGCAGGACGTGCATGATGCCATCATGTAAACATGGACCAACATCTCTGAGAATGGTTTTCAGCAACTTGTTGAATCTATGCAACAAAGAAATAAGGCAGTTGTGGATGCAAAAGGTTTTATTAGTAAGGTGTGCCCAATAGAGCAGCTACTGACTATAAGTACAGTCCACAGAGATGCACTATCTAGATTATATTTGACTTCAGCCAATGCTAACTAGCATTTTGCCTTTGTTGTTTAATTATTTTCACTGCATATTACTCAGAACTTAAATTTCATTTCATTTATCTAATTTCTTAAGTATCAATAAAACACATTTAACCACTACTTTGACCTTAATGCAACTATGATGAATAGTTCATTCAGATAAAACTGCAAGTCTCCATTTTCCTCATATAAAATCAAAGCCGCGTCGCATGAAATTGATTACATCTGTAATTCACCGGCAAGTCAGAATGAAACACTCAACCTTTTCATTAAACCGCTTTCTAACTGCCCTCAGCAGACCAGCAATCAATAGCAGCAAAGATTCAACAGTGAAACCAGACAGAGAGGATGATGCAAATATAATCTGAAACAGACATGATAGCTTTGCCTTCACCACACTACACATCACACTGACTGACCAGTGCTACAGCTAACTGCACCAGCTGTGTCAGTTATTCACTGAACATTTTGTTTATATTACATATTGGAATAAACAGTACGGTCAAAATAAGTGATCACATACTGTAAGAGATTTTGCTGAAGACACTTATTTTTCAAGGTTTTCTGAAGGTCTTGCAATTCAAAATAACCAGACAAAGACTATGAGTGGACGTTCAGGATAGATTGTACTGTGAAAATAATAAGCAAAATACTCAATTACTCCTTTAAAACATACAGTAATAGAGCAGAAATGAAATATGAAATGTTGGTATTGATGCAGTCAAGTGTATTGTTAGACCCACTTTCCTCCCACATGTTGGTCAGGTTCATGCCAGAATACCTGTGACTCATCTTGATGAGCTCTTTACATAAGGCACTGAGTCGCTGTAAAACCTTCACTGGGTTTCAACAAGCAGATGAGAATGTTTTTGAACGGGTCTTGTCTGCTGGTCTATTTTTTTTCTTCAAACTATGTCTGCTTCTGCTAGGCTTTTGCATTTCTTTTTTGTTTTTCTGCGTCCCACATTTTTATTTTCGCGTGCTTGCTGTGACTTCTTGAAATTTGAGGTTTGAAATCTGCATATCATGATTACTGCATTGAGCCATTAAAATGCCATAGGGCCAAAAATATCTCGGGGACTAAAGTATAATGTGCAGTTAATAATTTAAAACCATTATAAAACATATGCATATGCATAAAGAGACACAACATGATTAATATTTTAACTCTGTGTCAATCTTTTCTTCAGGCCTGACAACACTGCAAATTGTTCTGGACACCGCAGCAGAGAAAAAGTGGCAGGTAACTGCCATTAATGTGGGAAACCTTAAAGATGAGAGAAAGGATGAGGCCTACCGCTCACTGTTCCAAGATCTGGAGAACAAAAAAGAGAGGAGGGTGATACTGGACTGTGAACAGGATAAAGTGAAGGACATTATGGAACAGGTACATTGTAGATTATTATTATTATTATTATTATTTGGTAGTCTTTCTCGTAAGTAATTTCTGGGTAAAGTAATTACATGCAGTAGGCTCCATCGGTATATTGATCAGTGGCTTGTTGTTTGTAAAGAAAGCTAAAAAAATGTAAGTTTGCAAAACATTGAAAGCAAAAAACAAATGTTTTTACTATTTCGTGCTTAAATTATACATGATATTAGAACTAATAGAGTCCAAATATGTAAAAACTCTACTGGGAAGTGTAAATAGCACTGGGAATGGATCTGTGGTGATTAAAAAAGGGGGGTGCAGGAAATGCTAACAACCTTGTTGTCCTTTAATTACTCCTGTAGGAGAAAAGTAAGATCCAGTTGAAATACGTGTATCTGACAAAGCACTTACAAAAGTAGCCTTGTCACATGGACCATGCAGTCCAGCAGATGTAGAAAGGCACCATAACAATTATGCTAATTGTTCATTTAGGCTGTAAACAAAACTGCAATTAAAGGAAAAACAAATGCACATAAGCAGACTATTTTTACTTAACCTTTTTCTCACGAGGGAGGCATATTGATTAGCATTTAAAGCATGCAGACGTCTGTTTAACCAAATGCTGACTGAAATCAATGTCTACAGCCTCGTTGCCTCTTTATCAGGGAAAAACAGAGACTGTCGAGGTGGAAGTTTCTTGCTTTATGTCAAAGACATTTACATAGGAGATGCAAGACGTTATTATTCAAATCTGCATCAAGTAGCAGCCCTGACAAACGAAGGTGTCAGTCAAGCAGCGGGATTAGTTTCAGGTGTGCCATTTATATGAGGTACTGAAAAGGGGTCTGGTTGAGATATGTTAGTTTTTTGCTTTTGTCTTTTCTGATAAGAAAACTGGCGTCAGAACTTGATATCTCTGTCTAGCAATAGCTGCGACTATAAGTGACAATGTTTTTTAAAGTGATAACGGCCAAGACTGTCAGACATGTGAGGGTTGATTGAAACAAATTAATAATGTCTGAATAAATATGTGGCAGATTTAGATTGTACTTTCTTATAAGTGTAGTTGTCAAACAGTGTAAAATGGCATACAAGAGGAACTTCAATCAAGCATTTTATTAAGCTGTTTTTGTCAACTAAGAATTGCTTTTTCCTTCACGAGGTGTCCTATATGTTGTTTTAATGCACATGTGTTTCACAACAATGTAGGTCATCACAATTGGCAGACATGTTAAAGGCTACCACTACATTATAGCCAATCTGGTGAGTGTAAACAACATTTACAACTTTTTCTTTAAAGAATGACTTCATAAGTGTATTAATTGATGGAATAATTCATTTTGATCTGTTTTTTTAGGGTTTCATTGATGGAGACCTGTCCAAAATTCAGTATGGTGGAGCAAATGTTTCAGGCTTTCAGATTGTTGATTTTGATGATCCCTTGGTTTCCAAATTTGATCAGCGATGGGAGGCACTAGAAGAAAAAGAATATCCTGGAGCCGACAGCAAAATAAGGGTGAGTTTTAACATGCACATATGAGGCGATATAATACTGAAATCATCAATGATTATTCTGTTTAGTTTACTCTACTATACCAGCCCACATGAAGTCAGCTTTTTGGAAATTGAAATGGCATGTTCAGTTTTGGCAAACACACAAATCAGATAAATTTACATTAAAATATAACCAGAGCTGCATAGTCATTGCCAAAAGTAGCCTTCGTTTTTTTGAAACTGGGAAAGTTCAAGCTGTTTTTCAGGCCACACTGATTAAAAAAAAGCACTCACTCAAGTTTTGACATTTACAAAACAACAAAACTGCTCTACAAAAATACATAAACAAAGAAAGCACCAGCATCAAACATATGATATATCATATGCTGTCTAATTAGGGAAAGGCAGTGGATAAAGCATAATGCACTGTGTAATCTAGTGCAGAATGTCAGATAAATATTATTTATTTATTTGATCAACTATATTTATTCAATGTGTGAATACGGAGCTTACAGTTAAAGCCTTTTTTTTGTCAACTAGTTATATTATGTTTAACCAGATAGCAATACAGTCCTTCATTATTCATCTATATATAATATATAATTCATGTATAATCTCATCCAATTTTCTGCCATAGTATACATCTGCGCTGACCTATGACGCCGTTCAGGTGATGACAGAAGCTTTTCGATACCTTCATAAACAACGCATTGACTTTACCAGGAGGGCCAACACTGGTGACTGCTTGGCTAATCCTGCTGTGCCATGGGCTCAGGGTGTGGAGATTGAGCGAGCACTGAAACAGGTAACTCACCTCTTTTGCTGGTGAGGATTCATTGCAGTGGTAACAGTAGACACATTAAAAGAATAGCATTTTAAAACGCATCGAGGTAGAAAGTACTTGTCAAAGATTGATTTTTACAGTGCATATGTACACAGAGAAATATGCTCTCAGAAGAAGAAGAAACACACTAAATAGAGATTAATTTGATGGTAAACTATGATGCTGCATCAGTTATTCATGGTTATCATGTTGAGTTTCTGAAAGATCAGTAACACGGTTCTCAAATGTTTTTTTCTTTTCTTTTTATGTCTTTATCTGTACCACACTGATTTGTCCATCTACACTCTTTCTTAATGCAGAGCAGAAAAAAGTGTCCAAAACAGCTTCTAGGATGAGATTCTTTTAATGATAAAGGTATCAGTTGGAAATGTCTCAGAAAGCTTTTCCAAAATTGATCAGTTCTTGCCTTTGATGTTTTTTTGTCTGGCACCCTGGAAGTCAGGATACACTTATAAAAGATCAAGATTAGCTGCCTTTAACCACCCCATGAAGACAGAGAGATGCTGTCCTGGGTTGTGATCAAACATGTCAGAAGATAAGCCGATCCAAGGGTGTTGGATCTCTTCCAAATCAATTTATGTTGCTCTCAAAACCTGATCAGTGATGTTTAGTTTCCCAAGATCACATGGCTCTTACCTTCAAATGTCCCCCAAAGTGAGGTGAAAGTGAGAGAGAATCAAACTTTATATTATGCTACCTATTTTTACCTAATATTTTAACTTTAATATTTTCCCAAAGGGGGGTTCTACGGCTAGATGAATATAACAGTATTAACACAGTGTGTGACAAGTTTGTTTTTTCCCCCTCTCATCTCTTTTTGAAAGGACGTTTCAATTTGTTTTTCATTTTTAGTTTTTCCATCCATCCATCCATCCATCTTCTTCTGCAGTTCAAGAGGTTTCTTCTTGGTCTCAAATCAACTTAACTAAACAAATAACCTGTGAGTTTGATTGAACACTGTTACAGACTATGTAACATCTAATATGGATTTTACATTGTGAGTATAGTATGCAGTGTACTGACGTGCCATCCATATAGGAAACAACTAGTAACACATCAGCACTCAAGTCTAGACCTATGTAACAGCTTTCATGCAATACAGTGACTTGCCAACTGAAAATGGAACTTAAACTTTGGTGATTTTTCAAGTTTGTCAACTAAATGAGAGGATGTATGTCGAAAATCTGAGTTTCCATGTTGTGAAGTTAAGAGATCCACTCCACCAAATGCATTTTAGAAATGCTGATTTTCCCTGAAAAAAATCAAGAGGATCCTTCCCATTCTTTCTACTTTAGTTCCTTTGGTTAATGAATGTTCTCTGAATACATGCTGAGTTTATGCTCTTCAATCTGGACACCACTGGGTTCATTCAGACTTTCTGCTGCCTCGTAGCTCAGCACAAAGAAGTATTTGAAGTCATTAGGTATCATGGTAAAACACTCAAGAAGAGGGGAGTCATAGGAAACAAAGAGCAAAGAACACTTCTCACTTAACCGATCCAAATGGATGTCACTTTAGGGAACTTGGATGAGGTCGTGACAACATCACAATGCACTGATTTTTGGGCAATGAAACTCTGGGTGAATATGTTTTTGAGGACTGTATTACTTCAGACAAGTAAAAAGACACGTAAAAAAGATCCTTATTAGCACATTAGTATTTTACTTCTCTGAAACTGTCCCAATCATCTCCTGATGACTTAGCAAAGAGCATTTCATCCTTGTTGCTCAAATTGGCAGCTATTTACGGATTAAGCCCTGAAAGGATTTATGAGACATGTATTACCTATTCATCCTGACAAAACTGCATTTGCATGACCCAGACAACATCAAGAATTAATTTAACTTTGAAAATCTCAACTTTTAACCTGCAAATGAATGGTGAATGGTGTTACTTGACTGATCATAATTAATAAGAACAACAATGATAGCTTCCATGTTTTTAATTATTTCCTTCCACATAAGCCCACTACCACTGTTTGCTCGTCACACAGATTTATTCATGTCAAATCAGTCTTACACACGTCTGATCTTGTGTTTCCAAGGTTCGAGTGGAAGGACTGACAGGAAACATCCAATTTGACCAGCATGGCAAGAGAGTCAATTACTCAGTGAATATAATGGAATTAAAGAGTAATGGTCCTGTAAAAGTAAGTCTCTTGATATCCAATTTGAATAGAAGATGAATATCTATACAAGATTTGAGCGTTTGGAAAATTTTTGAGACTATATAGTTTGAATTCAAGGCTCGAGCTGTCCATTAAAGCAGCACTTACTTTTTCTTGAATTTATTGCTTATTTTTTTCCAACAGATTGGATACTGGAATGAAATGGATAAAATGGCTGTCACCAAATCAGATGTCTTTACAAATGACACAACAGGAATGGAAAACAAGACCGTTATTGTGACCACCATTTTGGTATGTTTAATAATGAGTCCATAACTAATTGCGTACTTTTAATTGTGGTTTTAGTGTCTCCGTTCTTGGACCACTGGGTACCTTATTTTATGAATAGATGTCTTAACACTTTAATTTAGACACTTTTCCCTTTACGGAGAAAAGTGTTGGTTTTTTTCCTTGTTTTTGTTAAATATATGTAGTTAAATATATGTAGAATAACACCAGATCACTGATTTCACGCTACAAGGCTATACTGTGTTTCACAAGGTAATTCATATGTGCTGAATTCATGTGTGCTGCTCTTTTTTCCTGTCCTTCAGGAAGCTCCGTATGTAATGCTGAAAAAGAACGCTGACCTTTTTGTAGACAATGAGCGCTACGAGGGTTACTGTGTAGATCTTGCTGCTGAGATAGCGAAGCACTGTGGCTTCAAATATCAACTGAAAATAGTGGGGGATGGAAAATATGGAGCAAGAGATGCAGAGACCAAAATCTGGAATGGGATGGTTGGAGAGTTGGTATATGGGGTGAGTTGATCTACTCATTCGAATGCATGCTTTAAAGGTTTTCAATGAGATAACTTTGATTGAGAGCCCCTGTAATCTCAAGTGGTATTTCTTAAACCTTTTTTTGCCTTTTTTTTCTTTGCCTTCTGGTTTGATAGAAAGCAGACATCGCAGTGGCTCCTCTGACCATCACATTGGTGCGAGAGGAAGTGATTGACTTCTCCAAGCCTTTCATGTCACTGGGCATTTCCATCATGATCAAGAAGCCTCAGAAATCCAAGCCTGGAGTTTTCTCTTTCTTGGATCCACTGGCTTATGAGATTTGGATGTGTATAGTTTTTGCTTACATTGGTGTCAGCGTGGTGCTGTTCCTCGTCAGCCGCTTCAGCCCCTACGAGTGGCACACTGAGGAGTATGAGGACGGGCAGATCCAGACCAATGAGTCTACTAATGAGTTTGGCATATTCAACAGCCTGTGGTTCTCCCTTGGAGCCTTTATGCGACAAGGCTGTGACATCTCTCCTAGGTAAGTCAGAAAAATCCACAACTTCCATATTGCCTTAATTTAAGAAAATTTATGCTGTAAGTATAAGTAAATGATAAGTGATATTCCACCAGAACTACCTAAAAATGAGAAAAAATTTATTTTAGAGCTTCAAAGTATTCATCAACCAAGTGTATTTTTAGCTCTGCTAGCAATATAGGATTAGGGGTTGTAATATTGTTGGGTTTATAACTTAGAGGTCCAGAGTAAAGCACTGTAGCATAGATTCTCAAATCAAAAGTGGATGACAAGGATGGAGAGCATTAGTTAGTAACATGTTATGTTTGAGCATGTAACCAAACCATCCACTTTGTTATATTCTTCATACATTCTGTATGTCTTGGCTTTATTTGGTTTTATTTACTTTTGTTTAGATGAAAAGTTATAAAATTATTCTTTTTACAGAATTTAGTGTAAAATTAATATTTTAACTGTAGATTTACTACCTTGTGAGTAGACATTTGTGTTGTGTTGACCTATCCTTTTTATCCCACACCTCATCCCAAACATGTTTTATGGTAAATTAAGAGTAACCACTGCTTCTCTTTGTTAACCCTGTTGCTCACAGCCTAAAGGGCCTGGGTTCAAATCCACATTCTAGATTGAGCCTTTCTGTGTAGAGTTTGCATATTTACCCAAGTTTATGTGGGTTGTCTCAGGATACTTTGGCTTCTTCCCACAGTTCAAAGACACCCATTTAGTGGGGTTAGGTTAATTAGTGATTGGTGCAAATGATTGTCTGTCCCACTATGTTAGCCCTGCTTTAGATTGGCACACTATCCAGAGTGTACCCTGCTTTTCGCTGGGATAGTCTCCAGCCTCCCACTGCAACCATAATTTGGAAAAGTGGAAGAAAATGGTTTTATGGATCTTTAGCATTATTGTAGTCTCAGAGATAAACTAGTACATCCCAACTAGAGTATTGTTTGGTCGGTTTGTGCTGTGCTATTTTCAAATGGATATACCTAAAAATAAACCAAAATAAATATACCAAATCACAATGCCATGCCCTACATCACACAGTGACTGCATTTATGGTTGAAACCTGCCTTTGATAAAATATGAAGAAAAAAAATCTTTTCAAAGCTGTGCATGGTTAAGTCTAGGAATATTTTGTGATTCATGGTAAATTACCTGCCTCAAGCGGTCCACATCTCTAGAAAATTGTTGAAACATCCACTGCATAAAAGTTATCTCAATACAGCTATTGAATCCTTTTTCTATGTTTTGTTAGAATATGATAAAAAAAAACAGATAAACATAAGTCAACAGCTCTTTCTATTTTTTTTGTCTGTACAACAGATCTCTGTCTGGACGCATCGTTGGTGGCGTGTGGTGGTTTTTCACCTTAATCATCATTTCTTCCTACACTGCTAACC